ATGTCTTTTATCATGTTAATGCATGCAATAAAAACATTGCATTGCTAATACCTAGAAATTTAGCACTGCACACATTAATAACAATATAGTGTAAAACAAAAATTAGAAAAGAATACCTAACAAAGTATAAGTAAAATACAAAATTAATGCATGCATTATTTTTTCTAATACACTCCACCAAACAACTATTTTACTGTGTATTAAGGAATGCATTACTAATGCCATGAATTTCTTGCTAGTAGTAATACAAGGAATTTTAATCATACATTAGTATGGCTAAAGACCTCATTGCCCCTCAAGATTATTTTTCCATCATAGTTGTGAAGAATATCTTTGTAAATAAATATTTTTATATAATGTATGTTGTTTTTAATACACTAAACTGAACAATACATAAGAAGTAATCTAGGTATAATTAGTGTCACACTACTAATACAAGCATTACTAATACATTCTTTTTGGCATTTAATAAAGTACATATAAAAAATAATGCATGCATTAACTTTATACTAATACCTTATTGGCTTGAGTTATCTACAACACTTAAATTCAGATTTGTACCTATTGAACACATCTACTCCTTAGAATTTGAACCATTTGAACATTTTTTCAACAATCGGCTAAAAGTATAAAATGAGTGAAATACACTCGCGGTGACGTGGCAATTAATTAAATAATGACATGTGTTATTTGGATTTCATGAAATTATTTTAAAATGTATTATAATGTGAAAGAAAAAGAAAATTATTACTATTTAAAAAAAAATACCTATAACCCCACCCTCCCACCACCCAAGCCCTTCCCGTGCTATCCCACCACTGTACCACTTTCCAGTTTCCACTCACGTCCATTAAACTCCGGCGTCATTAAAATCTTCAATAATTAATTTCATACTAACTGCACTTCACATAATAAGATGAAAAAGGATAATAGCTAATTTCTTATTGCCTATCCATTTAGATTAGTATTTTGCTGCTCTAATTGAAAAAAAGAAAAGAAGTTACAGAGAAATTTAACTCGAAAAAGGCGTCAAGGGCAGACGGAAGCTCGAAAGATGAATAAGTTGGACTTGAAAAAAGTTTAATACGATTATGTGGAACTTTATCATTTTCGTTGTCGTCGAATTTATCGTACTGAGGTTCTTGTTCTTCTTCCTTTGACAAGAAGTAGCCTTGTATGAGTGACAAACTCATCATCACCAGCCGCCAGGATCCGAATAAGCTAGATGAAGATGGAAGAAGCAGAAAGATAAGAAGGGTGTTATTGGTGTATGATTGTGGCGGCGACTGCGGCAACAACTTGGTTGTAAGGTGGAGGCGTAATGGCAACAAGCAAAAGGAAGAAGAAAGGTGGAGTTATGGTGCATAAGGAAGAAGACAAACTCTTTATTTTAAAAAAATATAAGAAAATGCTTTCACGCGCTCATTAGCCGTGAATCACACTCAAAATGTCATGTAGGCAAAAAGTGTTCAAGTGATATCAATATAATGTGGAAGAGGTGTTCAATAAGTACAAGCCTCAATTAAAATATATAAGTGAATAATGCGGACAATTTTAAGTGGCCGGAGATAACTTAAACCTACCTTATTTTAGTACTATAATTGATGCAAGTTATACACTATTTTTCCATATGGCATTAAGAAATGCATTTTTCAGATGGCTATATTTTCCTTTTTCCCGAGGTTATAATATATAAACTTGATGTTTCTAATATCTACATGTTGGAATAAAAATCGAAAAGAACAAAAGAAAGTTTTCAATAAAATATTGCAAAACAAAATACTTATAAAGAAAAAAAAGATAACGAGGATCGGGAGAGGCAAGGGAAATTCCGAGAAAATGTTAATCGGGCACTTCGAATTCGATATGAGAAATTTTTGTATTGTTTTTTTTTTCAAAACATTAGATTCTGTATCGAGAGAGTAGTATGAGATAAGGGTACAGGACAAGGCAAGTCAAAATTTTAACGGTTCAAGGCTTGCCATACCCAATCTCGTATGCCCTGTTTAACGCCTTAGATTACGACTCTTTAAAGACCTGGCAAACCTTGCAGAGTGGAATACGCTACATGCTTTACCCACCAAACAAAACTTCAAATGAACAATACAACAACAATACGTTTCAAAGGAGACCAAAATCAAAAGCAGAAGAAAAATAAAAAGATCATCCCCACAACATGGATAAAAGCAAACAAATAAACTGATTCAATTCGTATATTTCTGTAACTAATTCAACTTTTAAATTTTTCAAGGCTTTTGAACAAAGATTAGGGAAAACAACGGTAACAAATAGTTTATTATATAGCTCAAAAAAGTTAAGATAATCATATCTTACGCAATAAATAATTGACTACAGCATATCTAAACAACAAAAAGGAGCGTATAAATCTTCACTGAAAAGGCGATACATCATTTGATATTGCTACAAATAATTAATATCTTAATATCCCAATCAAATTGACTGATTTGGATCCCCACCTTGTAATATCTTCCTCCCTCATTTTAAAAAAATACAAAATGAACACCACAAAATAGGTTTAAATTAAGATCTTAATAGCTTAATTAGTTGGCAGGTGATCCGTTCCCCACCTTTTTTCTAGACAAATAACAAATCTATTATCACATAAAGAGACTAGGAAATCAAATTAATAACAAATCTATATCACACAAAAAGACTAGGAAATCAAATTTTACACCCGCCGCATAATTTCATTTGCAACTGTCATCAATCCAGAAACATGATTGTAGTTTGCTCAATAAACAGGCGGATTTAGTGAGTAAGCCATGAGTGAGTTCATCGTTCATCTGTATCCAATAGCTCTAACTTAGATCATGCATCTATTTTATTTTTTTAAAAGACTCAAAATACGGGCAATTAATAAAATATTGAACCCAGAAATTAGATTGCATGAAGCAGAACTCCAAAGTTTGTATTCTAAATTCATCTAAACCTCTCAACAATAGGCAAAAAAAGATTGATCACCCCTGGGCAGCAAAATGTAGGTAGCTCAAACATGCAAACGAAGAAGTCAACAAGAGGACAGGAGTTGAAACTGTCAGACATGCAAGAGAAGCACAACTGAGACAAAATACGAGTAGCCAAGAAACAATCCCTGTCAAAGCATAAAATCTCTCTCCGTGTGGAGAGCTGCAAAATACAGAATCAACAACAGTTAAAATTAGCAGGCCATCAAACTTGATAACAATCTCCAGACTGAAATACTCTGGAGAAGTATCTACTTACCAGCCTACAGCACACTGTACTTCTTAATCAGACACAAAAACAAAAGAAAAGCAGGTAGTCGAAGTTCAATATAACAAGGATTAAAGCAGGTGAAGCACCTGAAAAGAAATGAATCATGAGATGAACCATATATATCCTACTGCAACAAACACAAACCCTAAAACATGACTCGGCGGGGGGGACGGATAAGGGATGACTAATTCCGGGAGTAATTTTAGGATGAGTTTATCCCATGGCAGGTTGGGATAAACTCAACAGATAACTTATCCTGAAATTAGTTTACACTGAGATTGTAGCGTTAGTTTTATCCCACACTAAGGGTGGGTAAACAATCGCAGGATAACTAATCCCGACATAACTTGTTCCCCAACCAAACAAGCCCTTATAGAAACATGCATGTTCTGTAGTAAACTCAATAAATGCAGCAGAGGGACAAGTAACGTCACCATCACATCTGTTTTTCTGCCACCAACAATAGGACATCCTCTCTGCTGCCATAAGATGAAAAATAATAGATCAGAGAGTTTATCTATCAACAAAAAAATGGGCTTAAATGGAAACTAAAGAATAAGAAGTATCTCAACAACAGGGTTGATCCCAATAAAGAGACTAGGCATTCGGGTCAGCAAAGAGGACAATAATTTTGGCGCTTGTCGGGGGTTGAGGCGGTGGTCATCCAAATAATCTGATATATATAAGAAAATACATAAAGGAGCACAATAAGCAAGCATCCTGCTCACCACAGTCCAGCCTTTCAGCTACTTCCCCTCGTGATAATCCAGCAGCTAGCAGGTATACTTATGGAATCCCCAAAAAACATGAAAGGTGATATATCATTCCAAGAAGTGGAAAGAGGTCACGACATTCAGAAACAAATACTAATGACAGTCACAAGGAAGACAAGGAGGTCTAATTAAAGCAGAACATATCAAAACGTACCACATCTGCTGAATGGTTGGTAGTGTTGGTGATGCATAAAAAGAAAAACTAGAAATTCGTTAGAGGCTAATAAGAATAAACCATTACCATGCAATTTAATGAATGCATCAAGAGTGAAAGTTCTCAAATCTTCCGTCTCTTTCCGACGCAGAAGTCAGTTGACTACGACTCTATAGATGAAAATAAACAGCAAAGAACTTATTTGCTAGCAAGCAGATGAATATATTCTTCAAAGGGGTAATACCACCAAATCAAAATAACAGCTTTGGGATCCCAAAAAGAATTTTTTTTTTAAAGACACTCACACCCAACATCGCTGAAGTTGATAGCCAACTATTCCAACTTACACTTTAGTATGCTCCGATGCTCTACTATATGATATTAAATAAACTCTGGTTGAAGGTTTACAGTTAAGAGAGCTGTTGTACATGAATTTATGCCCTGTAGTGAATCATTCATATGGTTGCTAACACAAAAAAACTAAAATTACTCCCTTGCAGAACAGAAGGTATGCTCCAAGTGGTCAGGCATCACAACCTCATGGAAGCAAAGTAAAGTTAATTGCCCTAAGCTATAAGAAAAATAAACCACTCGAAGGGCAATGTTATAGATAAAAGGCAATCACTAGCCAACAACTTACATGGAAACAAGCAAGCATAGTTACAACTTACATGGAAACAAGCAAGCATGTTATAGATAAAAGGCTATCACTAGCCAACACCAATCACATAGTTGCAACACATGCAACGCATATGCCGGGGGGAACAACCATGCTAAATACGAGGTTAAACCGATAATAAGAGCACATGACATGAATTATATGAAAATTTCCAAATCCAATTAAAAAGAGATTATTACATAGCTGTATCTTTGTATCAAGCAACACAGTATCTAACCTTTCAAAACACCTAGAACTCCCTTCTACAAACAGCTGCCAAAAAACTGAACATTAAAAAAAGGAAAAGAAAAAGGTTGAAACCACCTAAAGAAAATAACTACATTAGCACTTTATAAGGTGGAACTCCCAACAGGAAGATATGATACTCCTTGCCACTGTCAAAAGAACGCTAAACATTATGTACTGCAGTAGAGATATATCCAAAATGGTGACAAAAAACCACACAAGTCAACATGAAAGCTTCTCAGAGAAGAGACTTACATTGACTAGGGAAACTTAGACAAGTCACCTTTGAAAATGCTCTTCCCTGATCATTTATCTCCTGTCAATTCATCCTCATTCTTTGTTTGAAAATTCGCATCAGCATCCACTCTAGAAGCCTCCTCCATGGTAACATCTTCAACAATTGCATTATCTGATGCCTGAACCTCGTTTTCATCGTTCTTATTCAATTGACTAAACTGAACCTCATCCCCAGTTTTCACGGCGGCATCGTCTTTCAGCTCACTCTTGCTTTCAAGATCAGCAATGATTTCCTTCTTAAGGACTTCAACCATACCATCTCCTCCATCAACTTCATCTTCTTTTCCTACTTCATCGGATTCCTTTTCAATAGTTTCACCATCACCATTAACCTGTTCACTTTCTTTTCCAACTCTCTCTTCATTTTCTGCAAACTCTGTGTCATCCTCAATCCTAATCTCTTCCTTCCCTTTCACATTCGCAACTCCTTTCATGGCCCGTTCAATCAGTTCAGCATTGTTATCCTCCAAAGAATGGCCATCGCCATGACTCTCAGTCTCACTCTCAGTCTCATTCTCCACAACCTCCTCATTCATCTCATCATAGCTATGGCCTTGCCTCTCAAGACTTTGCAACCTCCTCCTCAAATCACCCAACTCCCTCTCCATCAAGAACAATCTATCCTTCAAAATCAAGTTCTCTTCCTCCAATTGAGCAATATGGGTATCCTGATCATCCACACGGTTTCCCAACACATTGTTATACTCCATCCCGCTATAATTCGGGTAAATCATCTCAAACCTGCTCAAATCATGATCCAACCTCCTTTCAACCTCCACATGTTCTTCCACATCACTCTCACTTGATCCTCCCTCCTCTTCTTCCTCATCCTCATGTCCTTCTGCCTCATGACCTGGTGACCTCAGTCTAATCAACCCATTCATTGATCCATACCCATCCACTCCCCACTCCTCTTTCGCCATATCTACTAACACTTCCCTAGATGGAGAAAACATTGGCGTCGGTAACACAGCAGGAGTCACAGGACAAGGCGACACCAAAGAAGCAATACCACCACTCTTTTTAGCCCTAATAATGTACGAAGACGTGTTCCGAGGTGCATACGGTGCAGTCCTGTTACTGTTGTTATTATTATTATTATTGTTATTATGATAAAATTTCTTCTTAGGGAAAAACCTCCTAGCCTTTAATCGATTTTGTTGTTGCAAATCATTTAACGTAGGCGGCTTATACCCGCCTTGATTTCCAACAATTCCTCCGGCAGTACTACCACTACCGCTAGTTCCAATCTCGTTCCTCCTAACTCCATCCATTCTCTTATCCTTCTTATTTACCTTTTTACCCTTCCAATTGTTTCTAGGACCCAAGGGTTTGGGATGCTTTGCAGGAACAAATTGCTTCAAATTATGATTATTAGGGTTTTGAAATTTGAGCTGATCCACCATAGACGGCGGTGGCATAGGCGGCTGCGGCCACATCCTATAGCTCCGATTCATCATCTGAGGCTGCTGCATCATCAACGGAGGCATACTCATTCTCATACTCATATTCAAATTATACATGGAATTAAAGCTGAATTTATCATTGTCTACTACCTGCTGTGGCTGTTGTTGAAGCTGTGGATTCAAGATCTGAGGTTGACTCATACTTATCATTTGGTTTTGACCCATACTCATCCTCTGCTGTTGATTCATCATTTTTCCTTGCTCATTCATTACTCCAAAAACCAAAAACCCTAACCAAAAAAATAAAAAATCACAAATCTAATCAGCAACTCTTCAAATCAACGATTAATCGCCTAAAAATTACAGAAAAAAATCCACAAAAATCAAAGAGATTTACAGATTTTTCTAAAACTTGATGGAATCGAACGAAGAACAAAACAGTTTCCGCAATCTGATGCTTTTACCCTAAATTCAGTTTAATCTTTCGATGATTTTTTCTTTCTTTTAAGGGATTATATTCGATTCTTCTTCTTTAAATTTCGATCGGTATTTTTTCGTGATCTTTGAATTTATGTATTCTAGTGTTGGGGGAGACGGAGAGTCGGTGTTTATATAGGGGATGAGGAAATGTTTAACGGCTGAGATTTGTTTACAATGATAATGATGATGGATAAGTGACACGTGTTGTACCGGGTTTTTGACAAGGATTAGGTTTTGAGAAAGTAACCGCCCTTACTCTTTTGATTAAATTACGAATAACAGCCATTGTGAATTTGTGATATTACATAGGCGTCCCTCATTTTTTGACAATAGTACAATGAGGTTCACAATTTGTTGTAAAATGGTGTTGGATGTCCACGTGGCTAAACTTGATCTCCAAGTAGGTGGAATCTAGGGTAGGCGTTGGTTCTTCATTTCGATTTTATCAAATTTCAATTTGATTATTCAAATCATCAATGTCAAATTCGATTCGTTTATTTGATTTAGTGTATATAAAACTATTTTTATGATGCAGATGAAAAATAAAATGAGGACAAAATTAAACTATAAAACATTTAGGGGTCGTTTGGTACAAAAATAGTAATGCAGGGATTACTAATGCTGAAATTAATAATGGAAGGATTAATAGTGCAAGGATTAGTAATGCAAGATTTATTTTTACCAAGTATTTGATTCATTGGTTCCTACCCCATTTGAAATTGGGTTAAAACTTTATAAAAAACTTCTTTCCAATTATACCCTTGAATTATTAATAATTAAGTTAAGATAAATAATTGTCGGACAATATTATTATTTTTATGGTCTTCTAACTTGCTATGAGAAGAACAAATTTTTTTTTTGTCATGATTGCCTTTTTTTTTACTTAAATTATTTGAGGATAAATAATTGTCATCTTAGTAAATTTATTACTTACAAAATGTCAATTTTCAATTAAAAAAAAAAGATAAACTATCAATTTTAAAAATTGAAAAGACGTAAACAATAGTAAAACTAAATAAATTATCTACATTTACACATAAAAATTGTAAGTTATAATTTTAACAGAGTTAATGCTAAGCAACTCACATTTCAAATATTATATTAATTTGTGTTGGATTTATGTAGTAACAAACAACTTTCTCTAAATAATAGTACAAATATAAAACATAAAATCAAGAAAATAAATAAAATAATTAAAATGATTTGAGGGATATTTTTGTCTTTACATAGACTTATCCATGGTATTATATCCAATGTATTACTAATACCTCCAAATGAAAGGTATTAGTAATACACCCTATAATACCATGTAGGAGGTATAACTAATCCATGAATTAGTTATACATAGATCCAAATTCCTATCAAATATAGTACTAAATAATACCACACATAATACATGGATTATTTATTTTAATGCGGCCTACCAAACGACCCCTTAAAAATTTAAGACAAGATGATGGTCTCAAGAATGCTAAATAAAATGTATTATTAGTAATGCTTGCAATTATTATACAAGATGATTTTTATGCATTATTTGGTTTGATGTACTAAAAAGAGTATACTTATTTACAATAATGTCATTCATAATTATGGTGAAAAAAGATGTAAAAAATAGTTTGAGGGGCAATGGGGTCTTTACCATACAAATGTACGCATTAAAACCTTTGTATTACTAATACCATGAATTTTCATGCACTAGTAATACAGACCTTAATACGCAATAGAGTGTAAGCATTAGTTATACATAGCATGAAAAAGTATATCAAACAAGATCTTACTAATACATAAAGTTAATTCATGAATTATAAAGTTTGGTTCTTCGGTGCACCGAAGTTTTTAGACTCTTACTGAATCGAAGATTCAAAATTGAAGAACCGAATTAGTTCAGTCAGTTCGATTATTCGGTATTTATGTCCATTTCTAGTGAAATCTGGAGCAAAACTAAAGCAAGTGCTAAGAGGGTTCATTCGAATCTCCTACAATAAAAAATTATACTATTTATATATCATGAAAATTATTTTTTCCGTATATATATATATATTAGATATTAAATTTTTTAAAACTTTTTTTATATTTACTATTTATTTCGTATCATCTTGATGAAAATTGACTCTAACCCATGCACCGTAGCAATCTTCTTTGCCCAATATTCATCCACTAGATAAAGGGTGCCCGTGCAAGGCACGAGCTTTAATAAAGAGATGATTAAACTTAATATTAACATATTTATGTTTCATAGTAAGTTACATTTAGTTTGCGAACATTATACTGAGAGCTTGCTAGAAAGGTTAAAACATATTAGTCATTTTTTATTTTTCTGCTAAGCCCAAGGCTGTAGAAGTAGTACCACAAACTTCTTGTTCGAAGGTCCACCCGTAGTTTGGCTACCTGAGAAGCGGAAGGAGTCGATCTGTAATAAAACAACAATAACAATGTAATTGTTACAATAAGTGTTGTCAAATGACAAAGAAAGAAGCAAATAATTTTACAAAACTGTTACGAAAGTAAAGTTTCAAAATGATGGATGTGTTAGTTGAGTCTTTTACCATTGGTGATGCTGAAATGCAACAGAAGAAAGTCGAGAGTTTTGAACAAATGTATAGAAATGCAGAGTCAATTTTTATATAACAAAATGATTGAGACAATAAACAATTAAGCTTCATACTAATAACATTTGTAGAAGTGAGAAAAATAAGAACAGTAATAGTAAAGATGAAAGATTCAAAAGGTTCTCAGAAGGTTGAAACAAATTTGAAGACCATCCCTCTTTGCATCTTTGTACCTTATGTCTAGAGAGAAACAAAGCACGATCTAAAGGGCACAAGATTCACATTTCCAGAGTCGAGAATAAAAATTTGCATAATCTTTTTAGCATGAATCAATACATGGATTTTGTGACTTTGATAGGAGGGAAAGAGTAATAGCTCGTCTGTTTGGTCTACGTGTAAATGTTGTTTCTTTTTGTACCAGCTTGGGACCTTTTCAATAAATCTTGCCTTAACCGGAAAGGTTGCATGGATAAAAAGCCTCATACTTGTTGCAAGCATTATATTTCTCAAACAAATAGTCAGAAAATCAATCTCTAACAATGTGGTTATCATGCAAAACTGCTCATCGTTACTATAACAGTAAGGCTTTCCATTGCACTGTCTAATCACAAAAAAAAAATCAATTAATGCAACTAACAGTCAGGTACAACCCAATTGCAATAATATATTGCACTGTTTAACTCATGTACTAATTAAGATTTCACATTAGGATAACATATCATAGAACATTCATAGACGTGGAACGATTATTTAAGTTAATCTTTACCTGAGATCTTGTAATAATTCATAAACTTTAAATCTTGAATCTGCCTCTGTTATACTCATTTATAGCTAACCTGAAACAGGCAGACGAAATTAAATAGAGCCAAGAGTGCTGATGAAGGTTTTTATTTGTACGCTAAACATTTAATTAGCATATGTTCAGTTTGACTTACTTCTTTTCACCCTTAAGAGAAAACACTTCTAATTACAAACTTATTATCTGTCATTGAAGCTATTTATTAAGAAATCAATTGTAGTCGCAAGTACAATCCGTAATGGATTCGAATTTAGGATTATGTAATTAGCAGCCAATATGAGCGCAGGAAAATCTGAGAAAAATTAGGAAACCTAGATAAATTTAAATAGCAAAAATCAAACACAATCAGAAAAACAGTAAAGAAAGTATGAAAGATAACATGGAGTAACACCAAGAGAAAGCGATTAACGACAAATTATGAAAGATTCGAAGGATCCCTTACCTGAAATCAGTCGAAGAAGTTGAAGGAGCATGGAAAGCACAGAAAGTGTGCGGAAGTTGAAGAAGCGGAAGTAGCAGAAAGAAATCCAAAGCGAGACAGATATCCGTGTTAGGCAATACACGTGTAAGAAACATAAATCACCCACAGTTTATCCATGAAAAACGAAATTACCAATCTCATAGATAAAGCTAAATAGAGCAGAGCAACCTGGTCCTCCAGTGATCCAAAGCATAAGAGGTTCAGAGTCTGGATCAGACTCAGACTCAGACTCTATAAAATAATAGAATAATTGCGCATCTTCTGAATCGTCAATACCAATATACCTGGAAACACTAGTAAATTATTTTTTCTGATCTATATGAGTTTTAAGTAAATCACTTCAAAAACATAACTGCAATAATATATATATATATATATATATATATATATATATATATATATATATATATATATGTAAACTTATTTCTAATTTAATTCCTCACCCAATTTCAAGTTGAAAAGCAAGGGGTCTTTCAAATCTTGGAAAAACTCCACTAGTGAACCAGCTATTGCAGGCTCTGAACAAAGTTTTTCTACAATAAGAACAAAAAATAAATAACATAGCTCTGCTTTTGTTATATTCAACCTTAAAATGACATTGTGCTCACACACACAAAACTATCACTCTAGTTGAAGATAAATGTTAGAAGTCTTGTTCCTGAATTAGGAAAATACCAAAAGTAAACGAGAGGCGAAATTTCGTTCACCTTGCAATACGTGCTCTCTCATAACAGACAACGAAAAGCAAGGTGATATAGTAATGAAAGCGCAACCAAACTTAGTGCCATGCTTAATTCAAGTCATTTTGGTATAAAGGACACGAGTGATTGTTCCCCTTTCTCAGTCCTTTAAAGGTATAATAAAATGTCATTAGAATCTCTTAACTATTCCAATAAGAAACCCATTCAACACATGGGAAAGTTTTTAATTTACTTCAGCCATTGTGTTCTATTTATGCACTAAATTTCAGTTGTACTTTTTAACAAATAAAGAGCACCTAGGGAGTTGCTAGTTACAAAGAAAAG